ACCAGCTTCCCCGTAACCCCTGCTCCTTCCCTCCGACAGCATGACAAGAGAAGAAAGATAAATTGGAGGCAACAGAACGCACCAAAAATTCATGAACAAAAAGCACATTGGTCTATTGAAGACTGCGATGTAGAAAATACTCACATGACTGCAGGTTACTCACGTGCCATTACCCTTAGATGTCTGAAAAACGGTCCAGCCAACAAAGGAGAGATGACTGGCACTGTCACCACGGCTCAAAGTTACGGTAAGCAAGTGCTGTTAATCTGATTATTAAAAAGGTGTGAGAGTGTGCAGAGCTGTTCCCAGCTGCAGTACCAGTCAGAGGAAAAAATAAAAAGTGATGCTTAAGGGAAGAGACATGAATGACAATTATTTTATCCTGCAAAATCTCCCACAAGGAGTTGAAAACTTAAAGATGGAGGCCAAGCAGCAGCAAGGACTCGATAAGGTGAAGATTCCTTTTGTTTTATAATCAATAAATCTTTCATACTAAGAAAATTTACTGTAAAGCAAGCAAATCAGTGGAAAAAATTGGAAACACAGGATCCATTCTTTAAAAACACAAAAAATATTTTTATAGCTAACTACAAACATAATGATAGACATTTACCAGTTCTCTTGGTGCATATTTACACTTACTTTTTGGTTTCTTTCCTAGAATTAAAGCTGCCATAATCTTCAAAGACTTTAGGGCTGTTTCAACAGCTGAATTACAAAACAGCTCAGTCACAAATTACAAAATAAACTTGATGGTTTAAATAAAGAGGAAAAAACAATCCACATGATTCACTTCAATACAGATTTATATAGGAAAGATCATTCTCTTGACACATTTTCTAAGGTTGTGAAATGGCAAACTTCTAGTGTTTTAATTTATGCTTTGCTATTTTGGATCCTAAAGAGCAGCAGCTAACCGGTCATTCATTTCTCCCCTTTTAGACCACAACTCTGCTGAAAGGGAAACTGGGTTGAAGCCATTTGCCCCCAAAGCTCCTCCTCTGCAAACGGAGGAGACCTACACGACAGGACGAGTCCTGAGCGACGTCTCTCGGGGATGAGCCCTGCTCCAGGGTCAAAGCAAAAGGGCAGCTTTTTCCCCGCTCTCCCCGGAGGCAAGGCTTGGAAGGTACTTTGCTCCAGACTGTTCTCCAGTTATTTCAGCATCTCCACTGCTGATCCTGAGCAGAGCCTGAGCTGAAAGAAAGCGAGTGTTCAAATACTTCGGAACGCGGAGCAACACAGGTTCTGCTCGAGTCAGGAGGGCAGGCGGTCGCCTGCTTCTTAAATCTCAATCGTTTAGCACAGCCCTAACGGTATAATTAGGGCAGCACAGTGCAAACCAGGTGGGTTTCAATGCTTCTGAAAGGTAAGAGATGATGTTGTTGGAAGTCAGAGTCTAAAACCAACTTAGAATAAGATCTTTTTGAAAAGAAATGTATTTTCTTCATAAATACAGTACAATTACATTTTACATTGTCTTTTTACTTTCTAGACATAAAAATGCTAGCTTTTAAAAAAGAGTTCCTATACAAATACATGAAAAGAGACCCCTCTCCCCATAGCCCCCGCCCCTGGCACGGAGCAAAACCATCGGCCGCGGCGCGAAGAAGCACAGTGAATCCCCAGCTAACCTGTGCCAGCCCTCGTAGGGAGGGAGAGAAACCCAAATTGCCCCCCCCGGGGTTTTGCTTGCCCTGACTGCACTGAGTTTGTACCGCCACCATTTTATAATCAATGGAAAAAGCACATTGTCTGGCCACGGTTGTCGGGATTCACTGTACGGGTGTCACGGCTCACGGGATGCGGTTGTTACACGTCTCACGCGCTGCTGGTCATCGGTGTGGGCTCCTGGAGCAGGAGGTGTCCTTGGAAACGGTGCTGGCCTAAAACTCTGCAAGTCCCCTCACTCAGGCAGCCTCAAAACCAAAGCAAAGCGAATGCCAGTTTTCAGCCTCTCACTCTACAAACTTGCCAACAGAGGCAGAGACCACACATAAAGAATTTCAGCCCCCTGACAGTACTTGCTGACCTCAGCCACCCTTTGCAGACTCACGAGGAGCAACTCACAGATCCCCATGAGTCTTCAGACCACAGACAGATAATTGCTGCTCTAGATCCCCCAAGAGTTGCCAGGTAGGAGCTATTTTAAGTTAATAATGACATACAGCCAGATGGGAACAAAAGTCTCTAGATCTCAGGCAGTTCCCTGAGCCATCAAATCCCAAAGGAACTGCCCAAGGGAAGGACTTGTGAGTTTGGCCATTCTGTAAGCAGTGAAAGGAAAGAGGAAAAATAACTAAACTTGATTTTCTTGTTTTGTTCTACAAGGAAGAATATGTGGCTTTCTTTATAAAAGCTACAATTCTGCTTCTAATACCCGAGTTTAAGAAAAACTCTTAGTCTAAAATTTTGGTTTGCAAAGGTCATTGCAATCATTGTGTTAAAAATCACTTTCTACTAGAAATAAGCTCTACAGAAGGAAAAGGAACTAGGTGTGCAGTTTGTCTCCTTAAAGCAGTTTCTGTTTTAAAAACAAAATAAAAATCTGTACAGAGAGACTGAAGACTATAGTACACATCTTCCTCAAAGCAAGCAGCTCTTTTACATTCACATCAGGATGGCTCTGAGGAAGCTCGAGGGAAAGAATACATTCCTGATGGCTCCTAGTTTGTCAGCACAGGAAAATGACCTCAAACTTCCACGTCAAAAGTTCTGGGGGTTTTGCTTTTGCAAGAAATCAAAACTACAAAATAGGGCACAGAACCTGACCTAAGCAATGGAAAACTCCACCACCTTCTTCCAAATTTACTTCCACGGGCGCAGAACCGTTAAGGCTCCTGCAATCCTGATGGCTTGGGCTGTCAGAGACTGCCTGGCTTCCATTTTTGGAGGAGACAGTTGCTGTACATAATCTGTATTTTCTTCACAGAAAGCTATTATGTCCTTTTTTCTTTGTAAAAATAGATGACAGTGGCATTCAGTTTGAAAACAATGAGCTGCAAGGAGGATAAACAAATTATTTTTACCTAGTCCAGCTGAACAGCCAATACAGATTGGGGAAAATCAGTTTTCTAAAACAGATTTTATCTGTAAAGAACCCAAATTTTCCTAGACATTTTAAAATTAATGTGAATCAAGTGAGTTGGAAGTGTTTATCAAGGCCTGCAGTTGCAAAACTTCTTTCCTGCTGCTGAGAAGTACTTGTAAAGACGGAATATCATTTTTCCTGACTTTAAAAGAACAGAAAAGCACTCAAATATCCGTCCCCCTCTCTCACGCAGACACTCAGTGGCATTTGATCTCCCTTATTGTTCATTCTAAGCCCAAACCACAAAATATAATACAGAAAATCATGCTGAAATGGCAGAAAGATGGACACCTTAGAGTTAATGAGAAAAGCTTCTCCTGCATTTCCAACAGCTGTGGAGGAGGAAGAGAAATCACTTCAAATCATCCAGAGTGGGCATTACTTCATATAATGGGATGGAATTAAGCCAAGAGAAGTAAAAGTAAGACATTCTCAGGGATGAGAATGAAGAGGCTGTGAACAGTTTGTCTAGAAAAGGGTGGAGGACTAATTCAGACAGATTATTAGGATACACTTAGGGAGGGACTACCACAGTGTCCAGAAGGACGTTGTCCCCTACGGCAGAGACAGTCAAAGCCTTAGAGTGCAGCTCTGAAGTGTCTTAAGTAGTGGTGATGGAAGGGAGTTTGTGCTGCCTCTTAGAGCAGTCACTGGTAACGCCAGGCTAGTTAGACTTAGTTCCTATCTTACCATATGCATTTTGCCATCTCCAGCTTCTGTGGGTCTAGGAATACAGCCTGAAGAACATTAACAAGCAGCAAATCTGCTAGAAATGATTGAAGTGTTTTCCTTGTTTTTTTAAGCGATTATCACTAGAAGACAAAGAGAATCCAACTCATGGCTGATCTTTAGGCACTGCTACGTCACCCGTGCAGCAGACAGAAGGGACCTCCTTTCACCTCCCAACCCGCCACCGTGAAATTCATGTTACAATCTGTTGATCTGGTAAGGCCATTTCAACTGGACACCGTATCAGTTGTGTCAGATAAGTAGGAATTGAGGACATTCACTAACTGTTCGATGATGGATTACTGATTTTCCTTATTTCTGGGGTGAAATGATCTGAAATGAAAATCTGGCTACTTTAATGTTGCACAGAAAGCTGAGACTAGCCAGGTTCCCAAGGTGTGACCCCTGGCTAATTAGGTATTTTAACATTCAAGTAAAAAAAAGTAGTTTTTAACAGAAATTAATATTGAAGTGTTTTAATAAAATGCAAAGACAGTAACAAAAAATACTCATTTACTTCTATTGGTCTTAATATCTCATTATAGCATCTGCAATCAAAGCATTGCTGCATCTGTGCTAGTTCCCAAAAATCTGAAAGTGAACCTGATGATTTAAATGTGCAACTTTCTTCTGTAATGCCTCTGGGACTTTCTTTAAGCTGCTCTCTCCAGTTAGATGAAGAAAAAAAATATTTTGGAAGGAGAGAATTTGCCATCTGAAACTTTACACAGAGCTTCTCTTTAAAGCTCTACCTTTGAAGCTTTGCTATATGAAGAAGAATCTAGTATCTCCAAGAAGGAGAGACATACAAAGTAGAAGGGCATTTGAAATATAGAAAAATCTGCTACAGAGAAAGATCTCCACAGATGCAGTCGATTAAGTTGCTAACACTGAAAAGCAACAGGGCTTGCCACTTGCACTATGGTAAATCTGGAGTTCCACTAAAGCCAATGGCATTACAATGGCAGAAATCTGATCTAACAGATCAAGACTGAGCCTGTAAACTCTCCTTTTTTAATTTACGTAAAACATGAATGCAATATATTATTTACTATCCACTGTATAAATTATTGAAAAAGTACTTAAGTATAAAAGTGTGGCAAATCTTTCAATGAAACTAAAAATGTGAAATGTGACATTAATCACCGGAGTCATTTTTTTTAATAAAGAAATAACACAATTTGGGAAGTTAAAAAAAAAAAAAAATGTTACCACACTGAAAATGAAAATCTTTCCAGCCTATGAATGTGAAATACCTATTCTGAGTTCTTACACTGAGTGTAAAGAGAAATCTCCCTTGATCACAGCTCAAATTTACAAAAGTTTCTCAGAACACCTGTATTCTAAAACCATTAAGTGATGGTCACAACTAAGTCCTTGGTTCTGATCGTTATAAGGCCATTATGCTCACCTTACTGTGTTCAAGCTAGACATTTAACCAACAGCTGTGAGAGCAGGTACTTCTGTTTAAGAGACTTTAAAAATACTGAAATGAAGTATCAGATGTAGTGCACCTAAGTTCTTGTTTTTTCTCCAGATGTTACCAGATCCATTATTTAAAAAATAAAGGGGGAAACTTTCAAAGAACAAGTGTTACGGGTTTTTTATAATTTAGAGCAAATTATAAATTAACCTGTCCATACTTTTGAGACATAATATACAAGAGCAAACAGCTGAGTGTTCTTTTATTACTCAGGTATGACAATTTTTTCCCAACAAAAATGTCTTTTAAAAATTTCTTGCTATTGTATCCCAGCTCAGATCCTGGTACAGCCTTTCAGATGAGGTATTCTACCATCTCTCCATCTGGGAGGTCCTGCCCCATGGTCTGAACAGGGGCTTTTCTTTCAAGAGTGCTGGAGTGGAAAAGTGGCCCATCTACGTGATGAGGAAAAACAAGAGACAGACAATCAAAAGCTGTAACTTCAATGAGATTAGAAAAATGACGTTAACATTTTAAAAGTCAACTTCTATCATTGGCCGAAAGACAGCTCACAACTCCTTATTTTGTTTTAAAAAATTCAATTCTTCATGTATATAACCAAACAAATAAAGATATTTTATCAAATTCCCTTTAGGTATCTCCCACTGGTACACAATGGCATATAAAACTGGAGTGACTGCATTTAAGCCAATGTAGTCAGTGCAGACTTTCACCACAAAACCTGTTCCCCTGTCTCCCTCAATACCCATTAAATAGCATAGCATGGGCAAGATGCACAGCAGACCAGCCAAATTCACTCTTCCATAAAGAACAACATAATTGTAATGTGTCTGTAAGTAGAAGAGGCAAGGTTGTGTAATCTGCATTGATTTGGCAGAGTGGGCTGGAAAATGAGCAGCTCTTGCCAGCTCGGAGCTCTGTGGGCAGCAAATTCAGCTTCTGTGACAGTCACTGTCAACTGGATCTACTTGTGCCAATGCTGAAGTTGGTCCTGCGACTGGGACAGTATAATAACGAGACAGCTTTATCACGATAGTTACCTTTCCTACTTCTTCCTCCCCCTTACCTGAGTCCACTTTGCTTTGAATACCCACTAAAATGCAATGGCCAGTTTCTACGGCCCATTTCCATACACTGTTTAAACTCCACATGCTACTTGCAATTTACTTCAGAGTAGACACTGTCTTAGAGACTATCCAGGGATTTGCATATAGCTGCTCCAATTCTTAAACCTTGCTATACCTCCCCACCCAGTGTGTCCATGCTTATGCTACCACTCTTAAGGCTTTTTTTCCTTCAGGGCATTTGAGACCCCTCAGAACATTGTCAAGCTTGCCTCTGAAACCCATCTGTCCTCATAAAAACTAAACCCAGCTTTCCTGAACGGAAAAAGGGATGGCAGGTCCTGCCCCACAGAGCAGAACTGTTGGCAAGACCATGGCAGGGGCCCTCTGGGAGAGCAGCTGAGCTTTGTTACCTGTTTTGTCTGCGCTGTAGGCCAGGTTGGTACTGGGGAGTCGTCCTGGTGTGGGAGCTGCAGTGGAAGGTGCAGCTTTGCTTTGTTCATTCCCCCGGTCAGTCTGGGTGCTGCAGTCTCTGCTGCCTGTTTTTGAGTGGGCTGACAGCAACGGTGTGGAAGGAAGGACAGGAGAGGGGGTGGAGGGAATGGATTCGGAGCGATATTCTGTTCCCAGCAGAACACCTTTGTGGAAAAAGGGAAGGAAATTTCACAATCCCAGAAAACTAACTGGTATCAGTTCTGCACCCCTCTGTAGTACTTGCTCTAGGATCTGGAAAGTGCTCCATGCTTCAGCAGACAGCACTAATTTACCTTTCTATAGCACCTTTCAGCACTGGCTGCTGAAGTACCTGAAGAATAGCAGTATCCTCATGTTGCTGCATGCAAAGATACGCAGTGGGCACTAACACCTTATTTCCCTGTCTCTAACCAGTGGCCCATCTATGGCAGGATAAATCTGCACACTCTGAAATCAGCTACAACAGATTCTCATTTACATTTCAGGGTCTTTTAGTTTCATAGGGAGGGCCTTTGGACCTAACTTCCCCCAGCAAAAAAAAAATCATCTAAGATCTGCTTTGTTACAATGCATTTTCTCTGAACAATGGTGTTGAGCCATTCCAGACAGGAGTCATGTTAGTGCAGGCACAACACTACAGGATAGCAATCCTGATTAGTATCTCTGCTCCTATTCAAGGAGACTTTACACCTTCAGACAGCTGTAACAACCCAGCTGAAAGCAAGGGCTTGGGAACTCTGAACACTTTATCTCAAATATCCCTGAAGTCAGGTACCAAACTGGGAATAAAGGCTTACAGATTTTAGTGACAGGGCCTGGACATCAGAAGTCACTATTTCCCAAAAGTGACTAAAACAAACAGTTGTTCCAAATGTCTCCCATCTTGCTTGCAGTCAGCTTTACTGCACGCTAGGCCAGTTGATCTGTCTGTCCAACACACCTTCTTCCTTCTGCTGCTCCTGCCTCCCCTCTAAGCAGTGACTTGCATATCTGGATTGCCACTGTTATTTAAAAATTACCTAGGCTGCCTTTCCAGCTCTTGTCCTCCCTCTTCTCTTCCAGAATGGGAGTGCTGCTCAGTGTTGACGAGTGGGACAGCAAGCCCGAGCCAGCATTTGAAATGGACATCAGTGACTTGGCAGGTCTCATTGAGGAGAGCTGGTCTGTCTTACCAGGCTCCTTCCGGGAGCGCTGCTGCAGGACTTTGATCATGGCATCCTTCTCAATGATCTGAGCGTGCAGAGTCTTAATCCTTTTTGAGAAATACAAAGAAGAACAAGGTACTTGTACTCCTGCCTCCTTGGACTGAGGCCTCAGTGCCCCCATGGCTGTGACTAGGACTTCCTCCGGCATTTGGGGAGGCAGAGAGAGGATGCCAGTGAGCTTATTGCCCTGAATACTGGCTGCTCACTGGCCCACCAGAGCAGATCATGCATGAGACTTTCTGTATACATGCATGAGAGAAAGGCACTGAGATACCCACCCACCTTTGGCTACTGGAAGTTGCTCTAAGCAGCCACGGAAGGGGCTTTGAGACAAAGCTGAGAGTTATGGGCAGCGCATGAGAGCAACAGAAAGAAGAGGATTAACACACTTTGGGGAGCCTGCACTGGACCTAACCCCAGGGAAAACAGTTCTGTGAGACTGTTAAGAGGTGGCTGGAGCCTGGGGTCTGATGAAGATGCCCTGAAGAGAGAAGAACAAGAAGCTAGATGCAAAAAATCTAAGATTACTTTTTTGCATTAGCCCCCAGTATCAAGACAGGTTTTGGATTGCTATGTAGAAACTTTCTTGGCCAAATGAACGTCTGGCATCCTACATCGTTGCTGTTGGTGAAGACACAAGAATTTCTGGTTCTGAGGCGTCTACCCAGACAATTAATTTAAAATCCCTGTCCTAAAGAAGCCAGATAGGACCAAACTGTATTTTACCTTCCCTCCATGTCGAGACACCTCCTGTTGGCAAGCAGGATCTCCTCCTCCTCCTTCTGAATGCGAGCTTCCAGCGAGGTATCATAGCTAGGGTTAGGCGAGTGGCTGATCACTGTCGTGTCCCTGAGAACAAGCAGTAGAACAGATGAAGGACCAGCTAAGTTTGCTGCTTTCCTCCTAACAGCACAAAACAATTGCTCAAAAGTAACAAACAAGAATATCCACTTTTTTTGAGTTGCGGCGGGCTCAGTGTCTTCCAAAAATCCAACTCCCAGCCCTAATGAAAGAAGGATTACAAAAATATGCAAGTCATTACAAGAATACTGTATACAATCTACTGTCCATCTCAGGCCAGTCTATAATCTAACTGATTCACTGTACCGTTGTAAACTGATTGATGAGGCAAATTCAAGGACATGGGGAGGGGGAAGGACGGTATAGAACGCTAGGCACTTCTCTTCAATTGAAACAGTGCAAACTTTCCTTCAGCTAGAAAGCTTTTTCCCTTCCCCTTCCAACAGTATCATACAGGGAATCTGAGTATCAAAGGGAACTAGGCATGGAAGTTTCTTAAGGAATCCTAAGCAGCTTGGTCCAAAAAACTTGGACTGGACTGAAAACAGACTGATTCCACATAGTGCCTGATGTTAACACTGTGATAGTTGTTCAGTCCACTAACCAAAACATAATGAGTATTTCGTTCTACTTGTTGCTGTTCAGTCAGAACAAAGTCACTGTGCTATGCTCTGTATCACTCTATGACTCATAACATTAAGAGCATGTTACTGACATAGCTATGCATTAACATAATTAGAAAAGAAGAAACACAAAAAAATTTGGAGTTACCAAGAGCTCCAATTCATTTTAACAAGAAATCTGTTCTCTCAGACCCAGCAGGACTAAGAACTGTCTGGTAAATGTACCTCTAACTCTGCAAAAGTTCAGATCAGGAACAGCAAAGCACCAATGTGAAGGGCATAAGAAGATCATTCACCAAAGAAACGTAACCTGACCCGGATTCCTGCCTGTGCTGTGAAGCATCCTTCCTGCAACCTCAACTTCTTACGGGATGCTATTTTTCACTATCAAAGAAAAGGGAAAGAAATTCGTGCACAGTGTAGATGAGGTTGCCACTGAAATTAGTGGAATCCCTCACGGCCTATATTTTTGAAGTAGATACTAAAGGTGCCAACTGCATATAAACTTGCAGAAGTATTGACACTAATGGAATACTCTCTTTTAGGGGAGAAGCAGCTAGAAGGAAATGGAAAAACAGAGGTTGGCTCTTTCCTGACTGGAAGGCATTCTTGTTCATTTAACAAAACTTGGAACAGGCCTAACACATCCCCTCTCATTCCATGATAAACAATAGACCAGACCCCTACTTATCAGTGCACACTGAAAATATAACATGGCCTCTAAGGACAAGCAGTAGCAAGAGCCTTTAGAGAATCTCTGGGGAGGCGGAAAACAGTGCACAAGAAGAATCAATACCCTAAAATAACAGCTTGCTTCTGGAGCAAGATAAGATAAGTCTTTAAACACTAACACAGCAGATCTGCAACTTTACCTCTGTAATTCTAGTATGATCTTACGAGCTAGGAAGCCAATTGCAATAACATCCCTATTTGACTCTGCTTCATGAAACAATCTAAAATAAAATCTGCCATCAAGAACCAGAAACTAGCGAGCAATGAAATTATATGTAAGCAATACCTAACACTAAGGAGCCGCACTCCAATAACAGCTCTTGTTTACCAACTAGCTGAAGCACTTGGCCATATTTACAGCCATAATAAGTGTTTCTGTACAGTTGTCTTGGAATGTGAGCTTGTTACCACATTTCAGACACCCTTCCCTTCCCACCCCCACAAGCAGTGCTCTCCATACACAGCAGAATGTTTTGAGCAGAATTTCCTAGTAGATGTTTCTGGTTAGTAACCATGCTGAGGACAATACCACAAAGTAATTTGCAAAAACATTCTGGAGAACAAGTAAGCCATTCAGGGTGAATGATGTGAATCACCAAGCTTACCCCATCTCACATGACTTCAGTGAGGACTGATTCCTGTTTAAAAAAATAAAAACCCAAACCCCTTCTCATACACCTATTTTTGAATCAACAGCTTCTAGGAATGGCTCAGAACAACTCTAGTCTGGAAAATGGCTCCTGCATGTGGAAGAATCTTCCCCTGGAAAAAAGTTTCTAATTGTTGGCAATTGCACAGCTCCCAGGAAAAGCAGCCAAGCCCCACTCGCATGCAGAAGTCTGAGAAGCCATTCAGACCACAAGGCGAGGTATCATGGGAGGGTGGTGTGACAACATTCCTTGGTGGGAAATATGACATTCAACTGGAAATAGAAAATAATCCCTGTACTATGAAAAGTCTCATTTACCTCTGAGCAGCCACAGTTGCAGCTGCATCCAAAGCAAACTGTCTCATCACACTCTCCTCCAGGTATTTCTGTTCCCACTTGGTCATATCAGCTTCCAGAGCAAGAATCCTTTCTTCCTTCTCGCGCAGGAGTTCCATAAGTGCCGTGGCGTTGTACTCTGAGACATTGGCAGTCTGAGATGTACCCTGACGCTGATTTCCAAAAAAAAAAAAAAAAAAAAAAAAAAAAAGTCATCTCAGGATGCATCTGTAAGACTCAGGGTTGGTTTGTTTGCTTTTTGTCTGAAGGATGGGGGCTGGTCCAGAGCAGTACTGGCTTGACGCAAGAACCACCCAGAGTGAAATGCAGCAGCCTATGCCATCTTGGGCAGACTAGGTGATGGTAACGGTCTCCTTTAGAGCTTAATCTGAAACATCTCCAGGGGCAGTTCAGCCTCACTCTGTCATAACCAGGAAACAAGTTCATATAATGCAAGAAAGGCTCCTTCTATTTTCCAAATGTTGAAGCTCAAAAGTCATAAAAAATCAAGCACCGCTCCCAAGAAAGACAGCTTGACTCACAGCACCCACACTAGAGTGCTTCCTGGTGCCATTCCAGAGCTGGTCAATACGAACAAGGAAATATCTGAGACGGAAAATACTCCTAAGGCCTTTTGCCATGTGCGAAGCCCCACATATGCATCCAAGAGCTAGATCATGCTATTCAGGGCTGATGTCTACAGCCCATCCATAATGCCTAAAGTAACACAGACTTACTTCCAACATTGTTCCAGCAAGACATTAACTAGCAGATAAGGGTTATCACACCTTTAAAAAAAATACATACAAAATATTTTTAAAGTATTTGGTTATTAAATCAATATGATCACTGTATACCTGTGGATTAAGTAGCTGGGGATTAAAAATTCAGTTCTAAAGCAAGATTTGGAAGACAGGCAGTGTTCCCTTTCAAAACAAGAAAGAGTGGAGATTTGCTAAGCTAATAGCTCAATGGATAAAATGCATAGTTTTATATGGAAGTCTCTTCTGGGATTAGCAGGATATTTGACTTAAAAATTTTTAAAAAATAGTTCAAAAGAAAAGAAATTGGGCAGACAAGCTACTTTACGTTCAGCTCAGAATTCTTAACCATGACAAGAAAGCTATTTTTTTGTGTTGACTCAGGCTCAATGTCAAAAATTGTGGGGTTCAGAGTACCTACTCTTCCAAAGGTAACACAGAAAAGTTTATCAAATTACTGTAACTCCTACTCAAACCAATACAAAAATACAAATAAGATTTAAATACCCATTCTTTTGCAGAGGTGGAAGTTGGAGGATAAACATAACCTGAAACTAAATGCGATTTAGAACACAGGCCTGCATCCTATATCCAGTAAAATTTACAAACCTGACAGTTCACCTATGTTTGACATAGACTGAAATAAAACTAAAACTTCTCATCCAGTTCATAACACCACTGCACAATCTACTTCTCATTCATTCTTTTCACTGAAAAAGACTCACGTTACAATCGTAACAATATACTCTACGTGAAGCTCCCATCCATTTCCATCAACTGCATTTATAGAATTGGTTTTGCTGGTTTTGTTTGGTTTGGTTTTTTTAAATGCAAAAGCTTTTTGAAGGGCCTCTTTTCAGGCCAGTTGTTAATGAATTTTATATAAAATCTCAAACTGTGAGCAATATTTTTTAAATTATTTAGAAGTAAATATAACCAGCTTAAAGATAGAACACCATCTAGCTATATGGCTATCTCTGAATCTTGTCACGTGACAAATCCCCTATTGCTCTCTTATCTAAATTTTCTGGTTGGAACAGAGAATTAAATTAAGTAAAAACAATACAATGGCCAGCAAATCCATGATTCTAGCTACCAAAAGAAAAATTTGTTAATTTTACAAGATGGAGAAAACCACTGCCCTTCTTTTATTTGTGGTGTGGGTTATACTGTACAATCCTACAAGAAACCTAGTATGGCACAGGGAAACAGCAGGTACCTGCTGCATCCGGAGAGATTCCAGCTCTCTCTCCAGCCGGGTCCGCAGCCTATGTTCCAGCTGTTCCCGTTTCTCACACGCTGCCTGCAGCTGAACCAAGGCCTGCTGCATCTTCTCCACCTTCTCAACATAGACCTGCTTCTTTTTGAGCTGAAACAAAGGAAGAAAATGCAGCATAAGTTAAATAATGAGAACAAGTGAGTGAACTTCTGGCTTTGTAAACACTGCAGAGCACAGAAGCACCAGCTGGGAAGAACATGTCCAGATGACTGCTGTCAGTGTGCCTCAGACTCCTACTCTGGACTTGATACTCAGGATGATACAGGTCTTTCCCACCTCTGCTTTCCTGCGAGGTATATTTGTTCTTTTTGTCCTCAGCGACCCCATGGTAATGATGGGGAAACTGAGGTAATTATCTGTTGCAAATGACTGAGAACAGCAATGGGCTAGAAAGGGCATCTGAGTTCATAATAAAGAGTGTTTAAATGCCTTGACATGTTATCAAAGTAACTGTAGCAAAGACAGCATTTAGAGCTGGTCCACAAGTTGGGAACACTTTTCAGTGCAATACTGAAAATTGCTGGCAGTGTTTTTATGAGATTAAGCAGAAACTGAATCAAAACTTGTAGGATCCTATTCCAGTCCCATAACTATAAAATAATGAATAGGATCAAAGCATACACTAGACGTGGCCTGTGCTCTCTCCATACTGCAGCCAGATTTATTCTAGCAGTCTGGACAGGTATCTCGGTCATCTTCACCCAGTGTGACCTCATAGGCCCTGCTCCATTTCTTGCCCCTGAGCTTCTGTCCTCCTCTATCATTCATCCTGCAAACCAAGCTGCTATCCTGCCTCACGGTAAGCAATGAAAACTATCATGCTGAGACCCCCAATAACTGTCTTAGCAAGGTTAATCCACAGTTCAGGCAGAATAAAACCAAACTAAAATATGAATTAAAAAAAAAGAATAAAACACACCCAAGGCCCAGCTCTATTCTAATATATGGAATACTGCACACCTATGGACATAATTTTCTGTTAAGGAGAAGACTAATAATCACAATTAGCTGGCCTTCTGCAGCAAATCTGGGGCATTGCTTTTTTAGCTATGATTGTCATAAACCCTGAAATACAAAAATAGCAGGAAGAAGGCAACTTTTCCCAACAGTCAGAGCCAAAGTCTAGAGAAGCACCACAATGCAAAACACAGACTCCCTTATGTGAGTTCAAAGAGCTACTCTACAGCTTCATGGAAGAAAAGTCCACTGAGGGATATTAAAGACAAAAGACACCACTTTTGGCTCAGGAAGTCCTTCTTGGAAGCAGAAAATATTCTGGGAAAGTACTGCTGTTTGTTGGCCCCATTCTGATAGTGTTCCCTAGAAATCTGCTTTAAGTTTTGGCAGAGACAGGATACTAGGCTTGCTGGGCTTTGATCTGAACAACATGAGCCTTTCTTACATTGCACCTTCCTTCCAAAAAAGTCTTATCATGTGTTTCTTCAAAATTTTCTCTTTTCACGCTCCTGTTCCTTGAGGCAATCTAGAGACTGCAATGTGAATACCAGAAAGAGAAAAATCTCCAAACACTAGTAATCACAGACATGGTATCCTTTTCTTCTCTTCATAAAGTCAGCAGGCATCTAATCTCACAGCATGAATGTTGCTGCCCTGGAGGATTTTCCCCAAACAAGTATTTTATAATAAAAGTTACAATAAATAGTGAGTAATCCAGCCAAAGGCCTTCCCACCAGTGCATGTACAGTAGAAAGGTATTTTTATTCTTTGATTGCTCAAGATTTCATGCTTGTTTGGAATGGGAGGAACAAGAACATTTTAATACAACTTAATATTCCACTGCTGCTCTGCAGAAAATCAATACAAATGTTATACTTAATAGATCTTTTTATTCCAGATCATAGTGCTTAATTACACTGATTTAAGCTTTCTCAGACTCCAGTAAAGTGTAGATTAATGCACTAGTTTTACACTTAGATTAACAGCAGCTCAAAGTAGTTCTGTAACTAGCCAAAAAATGATAAACTATGAGTCAGCAGCAGAACCTAGAAATGGAAAGTACTCAGTATCTTGGTTTTGCATATGAGCTTACTGACCTGGACAAGAGTAAGGAACAACCTAATAAACTTGCTAGCGGCAAAATATCATGCATCGAGCTGAATAATAATCTCTTGAAAATCAGCTCTCGTCCCCCACTCTTCTGTGTAAAAATTAAGGAAGGAAGGATGGATATTTGGTCTCTTATTACCTACCACAAAGCATTTACATTTCTGAAAAGTTTTTTAACACACAGGTAAAATTCTCCTTGCAAAAGTAGCCACCGACAACATTTTACTAGTTTCATAATTAATAAACCTGAGTATGCATATATGTGGATTAACATTTTGGCCTGCATTCAAAGAATACCAAGAGCCCAGCCAAAAAAAGAATTAGGACACAGAAATTCCACTGAAACATTCACTTTGAAAGTGCTCCCATCAGCCAAACCTGCAGGTGAAATGTTGCAACACAAGCTGTTGCCCAACTTAGCAGCACTGCCTGCACATGCCTAACTTATGCACCAGACCTAAAGTACAGGCACAGCTTGTTCAGTGGCTTTTCATGAAGACAACTTTTTTTTTCTCCTTCACAAAATACACTTCATCTTCCAGCATCAGGAAGAATTAGGAATGTTAGAAAATTTGGGAGGAGGTGGGGCGTGTGTATTTTTTTTAATGGCTTAAAACCAGAATTAAATCAGGAATCCCTCAAATAATTTTCCATTTTTTGGAACACAGATGTTCAGTAAGCTTTACAGGCATGCATGTGCTCCAGACAACTCAGCTTTCCTAAGGTGTCTTTTGACACAATTATCCTTTATATATGAGATTGTTTCATTTCATGTACTCGCTGCACTCAGTCAACTCACTGCATATTCTGGCGGTGTCATTTATTTAGAGCTCTGCCATCTCTGCTACTGCAAGTATTTGTGAGGAACAATTTACCTTTCTGTGAACCACAAGTGGTAGCACTGAAATTTAATTTATTTATTTATTTAAATCTTTCTGACTTTATCTGTTATCTCAACGTAAAGAGGATCAGGAATCATTCTTCCAAGCACAGAGGGATTTCATTACCATAAATTGAGAGTATGATCATGTTTTCCTAAGACGGGAATTGGAAACAGTTTCCTGAGTATTGCCAGGGTGCTGCAGACATAAATGAGATGGGAGGAAGAAAAAAAGGCAGCATGCTGAGGCTTGTTCTTGGTCATTTGCCATGGATTCCCCACCCTCTCTCTTCCAGCAAAGAGCTGAAACTGGCTGCTTGGTGCCAAGGGCCACAGTAACATCTACCACGGGGGAGATGGCATCAAAGGATGCTGGAATTCTCAACAGGCCTTGCAGTGAACACGTGCTCTACATAAGAGTTCATTCCTGAAGCTTTACAAGGATGCAGTCACGCCCTTCAGTATATAATTTTAAATAAATTTGACAAGATAGTAATTTTCCTTTTGACGGTACTGCATTTAACTAATAAGCAAGCTCATGCTCACATAATGTATTGTAACTGTTTTGCCTTGAAGGGTGCTCTGAAAATGCAAAGCATTCTACTCATAATAGTATCTTTATTATAACACCTCTTTAAGACGGCAAGATCTCAAATAACCTCAGTGCACGTCTGGAAGCTCAGCACGACTGTATGCCTTCCCAGCATTTCCTACAGCACACAGCAAACTTTAATCATGTGCATATCTTCTCCAGGTCAATCCCTAACTGCTTTGGAAAATGTCCTAACCAAGTATCAGAGGTCAGGCTTTAACTCAACAAGATTTTCTAATTAAACCATTGTAAACAAGAGCAGTCACTCTCCAGTTCACATCCACTACAATGCTTACATAAATTCTGCAACAGGACCGAAGACAAGAAAAATAAAGAAGGCAAGGACTGGCTTGGGACTCTGCAGAAATCTAGTATGCAAAAGTGTGAACTGATGCAGAGAATATCCCTGAAACATTCCCTGGCCTCCTGATAAAGTATTTCTAACTTCATTTTATTTCCTCTATCCCTTGTCAAGATTGCTTTCTGCAGTTGAAAGCCAGCTGGGAGAAGCAGGATACGCTTGGGATTTGGAGGCTTCCTTGCTCACAAGAGTCTGGCTGACCCGAAGAGCAATCTGTTTCCAAGTTAGTCAGAAAGATTTACTGCCTGAGAATGTCCGCACACCAATATCCCCAAACTGCAGGGCTTCCAGCAATGGAAAATGAATCAATCACTCTAAACATACAGGGATAAAATGATTAAACAAATTCACTAAACCTAGAAAACAAACTAGTCCTCAGAACCTTTTTGCAGGAAAATTTCCTAAGACAACTTAATGCCTGGCAGCAGGCAACCTGCAGGTTTCTCTGCTACAGAGAGCACTTGCATGGTCTAAAATCAACGGCCAAGGACAAAGCGTTCCTGTCAGAAATAGGGACATTTGATTATTACTCCAACTGCCCAGCAGAAAATGGATTAACATTCTAAAAGCCAAACAAATCCTGTTCCTTCATCTGATTTAGGCTTCGACAAACCATGCAATCTCTTCCAGGGATCCCAGGTCCTTGCATAAGAAAGGCTCTGAAAAGGGCATGGAGTTTTCATGCACGCAGCACAGGGAGCAGGGGCATACAGGAATGAGGAATTTTCACTGTCAAGTCACTAGAAGCAAGGGAGGTAGAGGCTGTAACATCCTCCAGACTGGAGCTGCCTCTGCAGGACAAACACAGTCCTGGACGTAGCAGGTGAGGGGGAAGGAAGGATCTTCTTTTGTAAAGAGATTCATCGCTTCCAGATGCGTTACTCAGCAAAGAGTTTTTCTGGGGAAGAAGAGAAGACTTCCTGCATAGCTAGCAATGATTCAGAAACTCTCCCAGGCATTTTGACAAACCCAGCCATTACCCTCTTCATCTTGGACAGCTCCTATTTCAGCAAATTGGTAACACTCGTCAGCATCTGCTTGTCTCCCACCCACTATTTCTGATGTCTTCAAAGTCCTTTGTTTAATATATTCAGGGTGTTTTCATTACATTCTGGTTTATCCTAAAGCTGAATCCATTCAGATGCAGCTGAAAATGTGTTTCCCCACAAGAATTTGCCTGCTATGGCAGA